GCAAGTAGCACTATAATGCTTCACAGGTTGTACAAGTACTTTATAATAAAAAATTTCAAATTCCTCCTTTCTGTCCCTCATAATCATTGCTCTCATTCATTTGACACACAGACACACACACAATGTGCCACATAACAATGTTTTGATCAGCGATGAACTACATATACAATTATAATGGAACTGAAAAATTCTTATTGCTTAGTGATGTCATAGCCATTGGAATGTTGTAGAACCGTGCATTACTTAGACGTTTGTGGTGATGCTGGTGTAAACAAATCTGCATTGCCAGTCATATAAAAGTATAGCACATATAGGCCAGGTGTGGTGGGTCACACCTGTAATCCCAACACTTTGGGAGGTTGAGGCTGGAAGATTGCTTGGGGCCAGGAGTTGGAGACCAGCCTGGGCAGAGACTCGTCTCTACAAAAAATGAAAACAATAGCCAGGTGTGGTGATATATTCCTATAGTCCTAGCTACCCGGTAGGCTGAAGCAGGAGGATTACTTGAGACTAGGAGTTTGTGGTTACAGTGAAGCATGATCACGCCACTGTACTCCACTCTGGGCAACATCGTGAGATCCTGTCTAAAAATGGAAAAGGAAAAGTATAGCATGCTGGCCAGGTGCCATGGTCGCTCATACCCGTAATCCTAGCACTTTGGGAGGCGTGAGGCAGGAAGGTCCCTTGAGCCAAGGAGTTTGAGACCAGCCTGGGCAACATAGGGAGACCCTGTCTCAATAAATGAATAAATAATGATTATTCACAGTACTAATACTTGATAATGATAATAAATATGTTACTAGCTTATGTATTTACTATTCTATACTTTTTAATCATTATTTTAGAAAGTACTTCTAGCCTTAGGTCCTTCAGGAGGTATTTCGGAAGACATTATTATAGAAGATAATAGCTTCATGCAAGTTATTGCCCCTGAAGAGCTTCCAGTGGGACAAGATGTAGACATGGAAGACAGTGATAATGATGATCCTGACCCAGTGTAGGCCTAGACTAATGGGTGTGTTTATGTCTTAGTTTTTGACACAAAAAATTTACAAATAAGAAAAAGCTTATAGAATAAGAATTCAGAGAAAATATTTTGTACAGCTGTATACTGTTTTAAGCTGTGTTATTAAAGAGACTAAAAGTTGAAAAAGGTAAAAGTTTATAAAGGGAAAAAGTACAGTAAGCTGTTTAATTTATTATTAAAGAAAAAATATTTTTTTAAGTTTAGTGTAGCCTGAGTATAGTCTACAACAGTGTAATGTCCTAAGCCTTTACATTCAGTCACCCCTCAACTTACCCAGGCAGCTTGTCATCCTGTAAGCTATATTTATGGTGTGCCCTGTACAGTATATACCATTTTTTATCTTTTATACTATGGTTCTACTGTACCTTATCCATGTTCAATGTTTAGATACAAAGATACTTCCCATTAGTTCACAGTTGCCTGCACTAGCATGCTGTACATATTTGTAGCCTGGGAACAATAGGCTACAGCATATAGCGTAGGTGTGTAGTAGGTTGTACCATTAGGTTTGTGTAAGTACACTCTGTGATGTTCCCACAATGAATGAAATCATCTGACAGATGCGTTTGTCAGAATGTTTCTTTTTTATTTCTTGATTTTAAGTTCAGGGGTACATGTGCAGGATGTGCAGGTTTCTTACATAGTTAAACACGTGCCATGGTGATTAGCTGCACAGATCATCCCATCACCTGGGTATTAAGCCCAGCATCCATTAGCTATTCTTCCAGATGCTCTCCCTCCTCCCACCCCCATGTGTTCTTATCATTCAGCTCCCACTTCTAAGTGAGAACATGCAGTATTTGATTTTCTGTTCCTGTGTTAGTTTGCTAAGGATAATGGCTTCCAGCTCCATTCATGTCCCTGCAGAGGACACGATCTCATTCCTTTTTTTGTCCGCATAATATTCTGTGGTGTACATGTACCACATTTGCGTTAGTCTGTCATCGATGGGCATTTAGGTTGATTCCATGTCTTTGGTATTGTGAATAGTGCTGCAGTGAACATGGATTCATGTATCTTTATAATAGAATGATTTATATTCCTTTGAGTATATACCAAGTAATGGGATTGCTGAGTCAAATGGTAATTCTGTCTCTAGGTCTTTGAGGAATTGCCACACTGTTTTCCACAATGGTTGAACTAATTTACACTCCCACTAACAGTGTAAAAGCGTTCCTTTTTCTCCACAACCTCACCAGCATCTGTTGTTTTTTGACATTTCAATAATCGCCATTCTGACTGGTGTGAGATAGTATCTCATTGTGGTTTTGATTTGCATTTCTTTAATGATCAGTGATGTTGAGCTTCTTTTCATGTTTGTTGCCCGCATGAATGTCTTCTTTGGAGAAGTGTCTGTTCATGTCCTTTGATCACTTTTAATGGGTTTTTTTCTGGTAAATTTGTTTAAGTTCCTTGTAGATGCTGGATATTATATCTTTGTCAGATGGGTAAATAGCAAAAAGTTTCTCGCATTCTGTAGGTTGTCTGTTTACTCTGGTGATAGTTTCTTTTGCTGTGCAGAAGCTCTTTAGTTTAATGAGATTCCAATTGTCAAGTTTTGCTTTTGTGGCAGTTGCTTTTGGTATCTTTATCATGAAATCTTCGCTCATGCCCATATCCTGAATGGTATTGCATAGATTTTCTTCTAGGGTTTTTATAGTTTTGGATTTTCCATTTAAATCTTTAATCATCTTGAATTGATTTTTGTTTTTGGTATAAGGAAGGGGTCCAGTTTCAGTTTTCTGCATATGGCTAGCCAGTTCTCCCAGCACCATTTATTAAATAGGGAATTCTTTCCCCATTGTTTGTTTTTGTCAGGCTTGTTGGAGGTCAGATGGTTGTATGTATGTGATCTTATTTCTGGGTTCTCGTCTGTGTGTCTGTTCTTGTACCAATATCATACTGTTTTGGTTACTATAGCCTTGTAGCATAGTTTGAAGTTAGGTAGTATGATGCCTCCAGGTTTGTTCTTTTTGCTTAGGATTGTCTTGGCTACTCAGGCTCTTTTTTGGTTCCATATGAATTTTAAAATAGTTTCTTCTAATTCTGTGAAGAATGCCAATGGTAGTTTAATGGGAATAGCATTGAATCTATAAATTGTTTTGGGCAGTGTGACCATTTTCACAATATTGATTCTTCCCACCCATGAACATGGAATGTTTTTCCATTTATTTGTGTCCTCTCTGATTTCTTTGAGCAGTGGTTTATAGTTCTCCTTGAAGAGGTCCCTCACTTCCCTTATTAGCTGTATTTCCAGGTATTTTTTTTTTTTTTGTGGCGATTGTGAATGTGAGTTCATTCGTGATTTGGCTCTCTGATTGCTTATTATTGGTGTATAGGAAGGTCAACAATTTTTGCACATTCATTTTATATCTTGAAACTTGCCGAAGTTGCTTATAGGCTTAAGAAGCTTTTGGGCTGAGACAATGGGGTTTTCTAGAAATAGAATCATTTTATCTGCAAACAAAGATAATTTTACTTCCTCTCTTTCTATTTGAATACACTTTATTTCTTTCCCTTGCCTGATTGCCCTGGCCAGAACTTCCAATTCTGTGTTGAATAGGAGTGGTGAGAGAGGGCATGCAATCTTTGTCTTTGCTGATTTTCAAGGGGAATGCTTCCAGCTTTTGCCCAATCAGTATGTTATTGGCTGTGGGTTTGTCACATATGAGTCTTACCATTTTGAAGTATGTTCCTTGAATACCTAGTGTATTGAGAGTTTTTATACATGAAGGGATGTTAAATTTTATTGAAGACCTTTTCTCTATCTATTGAGATAATCATGTATTTTTTTGTCTTGAGTTCTGTTTAGGTGATGAATCACATTTATTAATTTGCATATATTGAACCAGCCTTGCATCCCGGGCATGAAGTCTGCTTGATTGTGGTAGATAAGGTTTTTGATGTGCTGCTGGATTCAGTCTGCCAGTATTTTGTTGAAGAGTTTTACATCAAGGTTCACCAAAGATGTTAGCCTGAAGTTTTCTTTTTTGTTTTATCTCTGCCAGGTTTTGGTATCAGGATGATGCAGGCCTTATAGAATGAACTAGGGAGGAGTCCCTCCTTTTCAGTTTTTTGAAACAGTTTCAGTAGGAATGGTACCAGCTCTTCTTTTTACCTCTGGTATAATTTAGCTGTGAATCCGTCTGGTCCTGGGCTTTTTTTGGTTGATAGACTATTACTGCTTCAACTTTAGAACTCATTATTGGTCTATTTAGGGATTCAGTTTCTTCCTAGTTCAGTCTTTGGAGGGTGTATGTGTCCAGGAATTTATCCATTTCTTCTAGATTTTCTAGTTTATGTACATAAAGGTGTTTATAGTGTTCTCTGATGGTTGGTTGTATTTCTGTGGGGTCAGTGGTGATACCCCGCTTATCATTTTTGATTATATTTGTTTGTTCTCTCTCTTTTTTTTTTTTTCAACCATCAATGGCATTTTATTTTGGAAGTTTCTATGTATTACATAGGTATTAACTTCCTTCCTCTCCTACTCCTCCCCACAAAATCCAGAAAGTTATTTTTATACATAAACAACTGAACATATAAAAATCTCGGACCTAATTTCTCTAAAGTCTTGGGTTAAAAGAACTTGAGTGGCACTTCTCCTTTCTGGGAGGACTACTTCTTAAGGAGGATTCATGGTCTGTCCTTTGCTCACTACAGATTTCTCCTCTTCTCTGGGAAAAAGATGGTCAATGCTTCTGCTTCCTTTTAATAAATTAATTTCCTGATTATTATACATTATTATTCCCCACTTGACACCTTCTTAGAAACTTGATTGTTGGATGCATTTTTTATTTGGCAAAAATTCAATGTGGCTTTGCGTGGGATGTCTGAAGTGTCAGAAACAGCAGTGTTGATGTTCTGGTTTTTAGAGGGAAAATATATAGAGAGATGCATACATTTCCTAGAATAACAAATGTAAGACTGAAATAGGGTGTGCACAGTTAAAAGGGCTGATAGACACTACTTGGTTTGGAATTCTGTGGCTGTCAACAATCAAGGACTGCAGTATAGGCCAGAATACAAATCTGCTTAGGAAGAAGTTTGGTTAGGCAAAACCACTGAGAAATGACAGTGTCTGCTACATTGTTCGAAGTATATCAGAGCAGACATGCACAAGAAGCAGCATTATGAGTCATGTGTAGTAAGTAGTCACCTAAACAGGGGCATTTGTGCAAATGCTCTGGCAACGTAGGCACTAGGGGAAGAGAAAAGAAGCATCCTATTAAAATGTACTTCCATCTCTAACTCACCCAAGACCCCAGGCCTCCTAAGCTTCATGATTTGCAAAGCCAAAATGAAATTTAGCATTACATGTCATTCTATGTCATTTGGAAGCTGGTCCACTGGGGCTATCTCAGAAGAGCTGCTCAAGAGGGTAGCAAGTCTACCCAGAAGGGTATGCCTTAGTGATCTTCACATCATCCACAGGGCGGTCCTGGGAGTTTGTTTCTACCATTCCCACGTGATTCACCATTCCTATGCTCTGGCACACTCGGCCAATAATGGTGTGTTTGCCATCGAGCCACTGGGTGGGGGCAAGGGTCACAAAGAACTGGCTGCCATTGGTGTCTGGCCCCGCATTGGCCATTGTGAGAATTCCAGCCCCCATGAACTTCAAGTCTGGATGAAGTTCATCTTCAAACTGTTTGCCATAGATAGATGCACCACCTTGACCTGTCTCTGTTGGGTCACCTCCTTGGATCATGAAGTCTTTGATAATTCTGCGGAATTTTGTGCCATTGTAGTAACCTCGACGAGCCACCTCAGCAAAGTTCTTACAGGTCTTTGGAGCATGCTTCCAGTACAGCTCCAGCACAATGATTCCCATGCTGGTCTCCAAGTAAACGTTGGGTGGCTGCCAGGAATCTGGGGGAATAACCGCCATAGCAAAGCCGGCGGCGGAATGCTTCTGTTCTCTCTTCTTTATTAGCCTAGCTAGTGGTCTATCTTATTAATTTCAAAAAAAAAAAAAAAACCAACTCCTGGATTCATTGGTTTTTGTTTTGTTTTGTTTTGTTTTGTTTTTGGAAGAGTTTTTCTTCTCTCTACTTCAGTTCAGCTCTGATACTATTTCTTGTCTACTACTAGCTTTGCGGTCTGTTTGTCCTTGGTCCTCTAATTCTTTTAGTTGTATTGTTAGGTTGTTAACTTGAGATCTTTCTAGCTTCTAGATGTGGGCATTTAGTGCTATAAATTCCCCGCTTAACACTGCTTTAGCTACATCCCAGAGATTCTGGTACGTTGTATCTTTGTTCTCATTAGTTTCAAAGAAATTCTCGATTTCTGCCTTAATTTCATTATTTACCCAAGAGTGATTCGGTAGCAGGTTGTTCAGTTTCCATGTAGTTAGTTGTGCGATTTTGAGTGAATTTCTTAATCTTGAGTTCTGATTTGGTTGCGCTGTGGTCTGAGAGACTGTTTGTTATTTTTTCAGTTCTTTTGCATTTGCTGAGGAGTGTTTTGCTTCCGATTACATGATCAGTTTTACTCAATGAAGTGCCGTGCAGCGATGAGAATAATGTATATTCTGTTGTTTTTGGGTGGAGAGTTCTATAGGTATTTGTCAGGTCTACTTTATCCAGAGCTGAGTTCAGGTCCTGAATATCTTTTAATTGTCTTTCTCTGTGATCTAATATTTTCAGTAGGGATGTTGAAGTCTCCCACTATTATTGCGTGGGAGTCTAAGTCTCGTTGAAGATCTCTAAGAACTTGCTTTATGAATCTGGGTGCTCCAGTATTGGGCACATATATATTTAGATTAGTCAGCTGTTCTTGTGGAATTGAACGCTTTACCATTACGTCATGCCCTTCTTTGTCTTTCTTGATCTTTGTTGGTTTAAAGTGTTTTATCGAAAACTAGGATTGCAACCCCTGCTTCGTTCTGTTTCCCATTTGCTTAGTAAATTGTCTCCAGTCTCTTTATTTTGAGCCTATGTGTGTCTTTGCATGTGAGATGGGTCCCTTGAAGATAGCATACCAATGGGTCTTGATTCTTTATCCAGCTTGCCATTCTGTGTCTTTTAATTGGGGCAGTTAGTCTATTTACATTTAAAGATAGAATTGTTATGTGTGGATTTGATTCTGTCATCATGCTAACTGGTTATTTTGCAGACTTGTTTATATGCTTGCTTCATTGGGGCTGGTCTGTGTACTTCAGTGTGTTTTTGTAGCGACTGGTGACTGTTTTTCCTTTCCATATTTAGTGCTTCCTTCAGGAGCTCTTGCAAGGCAGGCCTGATGATGATGAATTCCCTCAGCATTTGCTTGTCTGAAAAGGATCTTATTTCTCCTTTACTTATGAAGCTTAGTTTGGCCCAATATGACATTCTGGGATGGAAATTCTTTAAGAATGTTGAATATTGATCCCCAGTCTCTTCTGGTTTGTAGGATTTCCATTGAGGGGTCCGTTAGTCTGATGGGCTTCCCCTTGTAGGTGACCTGGCCCTTCTCTCTGGCTGCTCTTAATATTTTTTCTTTCATTTTGACTTTGGAGAATCTGATGATTATGTGTTTTGGGGATGATCTTCTCATGGAGTATCTTACTGGGGTTCTCTGCATTTCCTGAATTTGAATGTTGGCCTGTCTTGGTAAGTTGGGGAAGTTCTCCTGAATGGTATCCTGAAGTACGTTTTTCAACTTGGTTCCAACTCTCCTCATCACTTTTAGGTAACCCAATCAGTTGTAGATTCAGTCTGTTTACATAATCCCATATTTCTCAGAGGTTTTGTTCATTCCATTTCCTTCTTTTTTCTCTAGTCTCGTCTGCTTGTCTTAATTCAGAAAGCCAGTCTTCCAGCTCTGAGATTCTTTCCTCTCCTTGGTCTGTTCCGCTATTAATTCTTGTGATTGCATTGTGAAGTTCTCGTGTCGTGTTTTTTAACTCCATCAGGTCATTTGTCTTCCTCTCTAAAGTGGCTATTCTGGTTATCACCTCCTGCATAGTTTTACCATGATTCTCAGCTACTTTGCATTGGGTTAAAACATGTTCTTTTAGCTCAGTGAACTTCATTATTACCCACCTTCTGAAGCCTACTTCTGTCATTTCAGCCATCTCAGTGTCAGCCCAGTTCTGAGCCCTTGCTTGAAAGATGTTGTGGTCATTTGGAGGAAAAGGACACTCTGACCTTTTGAGTTTTCAGTGTTTTTGCATTGATTCTTTCTCATCTTTGTGGGCTTATCTACGTTTGATCTTGGAGGTTGCTGACCTTTGGGTAGGTATTTTGTGGTTTTTCTTTGTTGTTGTTTTCTGTTTTTCTTTTAATAATCTGGTCACGCTTCTGTAGGGCTGCTGCAGTTTGCTGGAGGTCCACTCCAAACCCCATTTGCTCTGGTTCTTCCTGTACCTGGAGGTATCACCAGTGAAGGCTATAAAACAGCAAAGATGTCTGGAAGCGCCATCCCAGGAGGATACTGACCTGTTGCCACCTGAACGTGCCTGTAGGAGGTGGTTGGAGACCCCAGTTGGGAGGTTTCACTCGGTTAGGAGGAATGGGATCAGGGACCCACTTAAAGCAACAGTTTGGCTGCTTTTTGTTATAGCAGCTCTGCTGTGTTGGTGATCCCTTTAGCCACCATTTGATCTGGGCTCTGCAAACCTGCAAACCCCACTGGCTGAACTGACTGAGGAGCCCGAACGGCTAAGGTGGCAGCCTGCCCCACTCCTCAGGCACTCCATCCCAGGGAGAAATTGGAGCTCTTTCGGCCCATAGAACATGGGTGGTGACTAGAGGCTCTGGCTGGGAGGACCCGCCCCACAAGGAGAAGTGGATTGGGGGTTCTGCTTACAGAATCAGTCTGGCCATGCCTTAAAAAACGGCTGTGTCATGTTAGGGAACTGCCTCTGCCCAGGTAGCAGCCCTCCCCTCTCCTGGACACTTTGTCCCAAGGACAGGTAAGAAAGGTAAGAGCTCTGTCAGGTCATGGCTGGAGGGCCTGGCTGGGAGGTCCCACCCAGTGAGGAGGAATGGATCTGAGCTCCACTTAAAGAAGCAATCTGGTCACTATCTTGCAAAGCCGCTGTGTTGTGCTACTGGGGGGACCCTTTCTAGTCCAGATCATTTGGACTCTCCAGGGTCCGCAGGCTGTAACAGCTGTGTTGACCAAACAGCAGAGATGGTGCTGGCCTCTCCGCACAGCCTATTGCTGGTTACTGCTTCGAATTCCAAGCCAGTGGGTCTTATCTTGTGAGGTATCATGGAAGTGGGCCCACAGAACAAGGCTGCTCAACTTTCTGGATTCTACCCCCTCCCTTGGGGTGTATATGAACCGCCTGCCTTGTCTGAGTTGCAGACACGTTGGTTGGAGATCCCAGGACTGGAGTATATAAAGCTCCTGGGTCTCTATGCATGCATGCCTAAACAGCTGCTCTGCTGAGACTCCACGCAGCTCAGTGTGTTGGACCCAAGGCCCTGGTGGCGTGGACTCACAAGGGGATCTCCTGATCTCCGGGTTGCAAAGATCCGTGGGAGAAGCGTTGTTTCCCTGGGTCACATAATCACTCATCACTTCCCTTGGCTGGGGATGGGGGTTCCCTTGGCTCGTGTTGCTCCCAGATGGGCTGTCGCGCCACCCTGCTTTTCCTCGCTCCCTGTGGGTCGAGCTGTTTCCCTCATTAGTCCCAGTGTGACTACCTGGATTATTTCAGTTGAAGGTGTAGTATTCACTTGCCCCTTTCATTCCTCTCCATGAGCACCACAGACGGCAGCTGCTTCTAATCGCCTGTCTTGGCCCTGTCCCCAGAATGTTTCAACTTCATTAAGCAATGCATGTCTATATCTGTCTGTATGCTATGTGTAAGTAAAATGCTTATATATGTAAGCATACATAATTGAATATATTGTTCCTATTGTTTTGAACAAACTGTTGTCAGTTAGATAATTAACAGTAAGAAAAATAAAAGTTTTTGTTTTATCCTTTCTCCCCAGTACTCTTCCTATGTTTATGTAGATCTGAGTTTCTAACCAATATCATTTTTCTCCTCTCTAAAGAACTACTTTTAAGATTTCTTATAAGGCGGGTCTACTGGCAACAAAGTCCTCAATTTTTGTCTGAGAAAGTTTTTATTTTTCCTTCACTTTTGAAGGGTAATTTCACAGAATACAGAATTTTAGGTTTGTAGGTTTTTGTTTGTTTTTTAACTCAACACATGAATTATTTCACTCCATGCTATTCTTTCTTCCATGATTTCTGAGGAGTATCTGATGTGATACTTTATCTTTGCTCCTTTGTAGCTAAGGTGTTTTTCCCCCTTTGGCTTCTTTCAAGGTTTTTTCTTTACCTTTGATTTTCTGATGTTTGAATATCATATGCCTAGGTATAGGGTGGTTTTGTTTGTTTTCGTTTTGACTTTTATCCTCCTTGGTGTTGTTTGAGCTTTCTGAATCTGTGGTTTGGTGCCTGACATTAATTTGGAGAAATTCTCAGTCATTGGTACTTCATATATTGCTTCTGTTCCTTTCTCAGAGTTTGCATTATGCATATTTAGTAGTAGTCTATTCTGTTTTATTCTTTTTTTTTTTTTTGCTTTGCTTTTCGGTCTTGGAAGTTTCTGTTGTCATATCATATTCCCAGGCTCCAAGATTCTTCTGTCAGCTGTGTCCAGTCTACTATTGAGCCCTGCAGATACATTTCTATTATATTAAATAGTAATTTTTATCTTTGTTTCTTTTTCTGTTTTTTGTTTGTTTTAGAATTCTCATCTCTCTTATATTATTCATCTGTTTTTGCATGTTGTGTTTTTTCCATTAAAGCCTTAAGTATATTATAGTTTTCTGAAATTCCTGGTTGGAAAAGCATTTTTGTCATATCTGACTCTGATTCTGATGTTTGCTTAGCTGCTTAGTATGTCTTATAATTTTTCTTGAAAGGTGGACATGGTGTAACTGGGTAAAGGGAACTGCACAAAT